AGCCTAATAACTTTCATAATACCCACTTAGAGTCCTATTTCTAATAAGTTTATTTGAACTACCCTTTGTCTTCTGAGCATTAAAAGACAAAAGGGCCATTGGAGGGGCTGGTAGTATGATTCAAGTGGTGGATGATTATCTGCATAGCAAGTGCAACACCCTAAATTCAAGGTCCAGTATAATAAAAGAAAAAAATATTAATGGAAAGGTAGGCAAAGCAAGAACTGTAAAGTCAAATAAATGGAAAGCATCGCTCAAACTATATGTACATGTAAACACATGAGCATGTGCTTGACATATAGCCTTGTTCAAATGACTTTGTCAAATTAGAGAATACACCTTAATTCCATGTCTGCCTTTATAACAGATTTTACACTGGGGTGTGGGAGGAGCTATTTACCACACAGTCATCATTTAGTACTCTGTTTTGAACCAAATAGATACACCAAACTTTGAGACAGACATTATGTTTATAAAGCTTTACTCAAGAAATGGTTGATAAGGTATAGAATTTGGATGGAGTAATTAGTGTATAGAAAATAGCTTTTAGTTTATGTCAGAAGGTAGAGATGAACACACAAGTATGACTTCATGGATGTTCTCAATAATTTTGCATTTCAAATTGTTTCTGACAAGCAAATTTTTTAACATTTTTGCAGCCAAAGAATTAAGTTCTAAAAGCTGGCACTAATTTTAATCTTATGTCAAGAGCCAAGTGGATTAATAGTGAAATACTTCACTTTAATGGTTTTAATGATAATAATGACTTAAGATTTGATAAGAGAGCTGAAAAATAAGATTATTTCTCCCATCCTGCAGTTTTCATAATAAATTAAATTGTTCCATTCAGAGTGTGGTTGGCAGCCAAGAAATGATTCCAACTTTTTCTTCAAGTATGCAGTCAGTTTGTCTTGATTTTTCAAGTAGGGAAAGTGAGAATTTTAAGCCTTTATAAAACGTTATGGAAGGTGTGAACCATCAGTAAACATAAAAAGGCCAATACTGAAGATGAAAATCAGTAAGTGACAGTTAAGAACCTCCTAGATTTAAGGTGATGATCATGATCAACATTCACGTAAGGACTATTTTTTATTCCATGTCTTTTTAAATGCAGCTTTTACTGTATTAAATGCACTGATTAGCAACATAAAATTATCTTTTATTTACTTCTTCATTTTAAATCACAGGAACAGTGGTATGTTTTGATGTTATTACCTATTTGGTAAATTTCTTTTTTGGGGGCGGGGGTCCGGTCGTGGGGCCTGAACTCTGGGCCTGGGCACTGTCCCTCAGCTCTTCACCTCAAGGCTAGCCCTCTACCACTTGAGCCACAGCACCACTTCCGGCTTTTTTTCTTTTTGCTTATGTGGTGCTGAGGAATCGAACCCAGGGCCTCATGTATGCAAGGCAAGTGCTCTACTACTGAGCCACCTTCCCTGCCCCTGGTAAATTTCTTTGTTACTTTTTATTTTTCACTTTTTGATTTTCTATGATGTTGAGTATTGGAACCCAGGACCTTATATGTGCTAGGTCAATGCTCCATCACTCAGCTAAAGCCCTAGCCCTAACATTCTTGCTTTTTCTAAGAGATTTTACATTGTGGTGGTGCTATTCATTTACTCAGTCATTGTTTAGTGCTACTAAGTTGGCTGGGAAGGTGGCTCAGTGGAAGGGTTCTGGCCTCGCATGCATGAGGCCCTGGGTTCAATTCCTCAGCACCACCTAAGCAGAAAAAGCCAGAAGTGGCGCTGGGACAACGCCCAGGCCTAGAGTTCAAGCCCCATGACCAACCAAAAAAAAAGAATTCTCTATAGTGCTACTAAGTTGTTTTAAATCATATGGTTAAAACAAAAATTATTTGTACAGACCTGAGTAATACCTGAATATAGATTGTTTGGTATAATAAATGTACAATATAGTATCAACATTTTGATATGAATATTTTATTTTTCTTATTCTGTGGTACATTGGTTTTGTTTGCATTATAGTTTTTCTCCGGTAATAGTTTAAATATAAGATTTTATAATGAGCAGACATTTTTCCTTTGGGAAGTTTTTATGATGAGCAGCCCTGTGGTTTTTCAACTGCTCTTTAGTTTCCTTATTACATATTTTTTAATAAGTTTTTATTGTGAAAATACTGTACAGAGAGGTTACAATTACCTGAGCAAGGTAATGAGTACATTTCTTATCAAGCATTTGAGGAACCTCCATCCTGCTTTCCAAAGTGGTTTAACAAGATTATATTTGCACCAACATCCCCTCCAGCATCTGTTGTTATTAGAGTTCTTGATTATAGCCATTCTAACTGGGGTGAGGAGGTATCTCAATGTTGTTTTGATTTGCATTTCTTTTATGGTTAGGGAAGTTGAGCATTTCTTCATGTGTTTATTGGCCATTCTTATTTCCTCTTCAGAGAAGTCTCTCTTTACATCTTTAGCCCACTTATTTATTGGGCAGTTGTTTCTTTGAAGATTTGTTGTTGGGGGATTTAATTTTTTGACTTCCAGGTATATTTTAGATATGAGACCTTTGTCCGTTTTATGGCTAGTGAAGATATTCTCCCAATCCATGGACTTTCTATTGATCTTGCTAGCTATGTCCTTTGCCATGCAGAAGCTCTGCAGTTTCATGAAATCCCATTTGTCCAACCTTTCTTTGATTTGTTGTGTTTCTGGGTCTCTATTAAGAAAATTTCATCCTCTGAGTTTCTCTAGAGTTTCTCTATCCCTTCCTGTAATGTTTTCAGGGTGTCTGCTTTGACTTTGAGATCTTTGATCCATTGAGTTGATTCTGGTGCAGGGTGATATACGGGGATTTAGCTTTAGTTTTCTACAGGATAAACACATTCATATTTTCTGTTGCACCAATGAATGTTCAATATATAACTATATATACAGTTATATACATGTTCAATATATATTGAACATATATATATATGTTCTATATATATATATATATATGTAGTGACTCATCAAAGGTTTTTTTCACCTACTGAACTTTTTTTTTTAATTTAATTTTATTTTATTTGTGAACAAACTGTACAGAGGGGTTACAATTGCATGGGCAGGATAATGCGTACATTTCTTACCAAGCATTGCAGCCTCCTCCTTTGTTTACCCTTCCCATCCCTTCCCAGCCTCCCCCCTCCCCCCCATCCCAATCCTTCTCCTTCCCCCCTCCCCCCCACCCCCTCCCCCCCCCCCCCCCGACCGACGTCTTATTACATATATTTTATGTCTTAAAAACAGTAGTGATTTTGTTTGTATTGAAATATTTTTTCATATTTAATAGTTATCAGGCCATCTATTAGATATCAGCAAAAAAACAAAAGCAAAAACCTTTCAATTGTGGAGCTAGGGCTTATAGATCAGAGATAGAATGCTTATTACTTAATACACATGAGGCCCTGGATTTGATCACTTCCCTAGCAAAGAAAGAGGGGAGGGGGCAGGGAAAGAGGAAAAGAGAGAAGAAAGAAAGAGAAAAAGAAAGAAGAGGGAGGGAAGAAATACAGGGAAAGAGTGCAACTGTTAAGAAGGAAGGACAGAAGGAAGGTGTTAAGACTGAATGTTAATAAATTAGAAAAGTCACTTTATTATGGATTTGAAGATTTTAACATAGTTTATGATTTGTATTATAATCTAAAAACAGATGGATATTGGACTTGAACAATTATTTAATTTTTAATGCTATAATTGACACATCTGAAATTATTTGTGAAATTCTTACATGTCCTTTAAAATTATTTTGTCATGGCTTCTTAGAAATAAAAAAAATTCAATAATGTGCAAAGAACAAAATTAAAATTGATCTACTTTCCATTGTCAACACTAACCAACTTATATGTGTTTGAATATAGTATATGCCATCCTAACTACATACCATGGTATGACTTATTGTTTAATAATAACTAGTTAACTCTACTTTGAGTAGCAAAGTTGGGACTAAAGAAACACTTAAAACTTGGGGAAATTAGAAGAGGAGAACTTGTGAGAAGTGGTTTGACTCAAGAGTCCGTCATACCTCCTTTCTGTGATTATAAATACATATTATTTATTTGTAATCACTTATAAATTGTATCCAATTATAATTTTATAATCCAATTATAAACATTGCACTTAAAAGGAGCTCTGGTCTTTCAACTTGAAGAGAACCCATGAAAATCCTTGGGAATGATAGGTGGCCCCATGGCATTTGTGGGATTGATGAGGTAGGGCTCAGAAGGCACCTGCTTCCCCCTTCTAAGGTGGAACATTTCTTAAAGACAGAATATGTCATCTTCTTGTATTTCCTGGGGTTATAACTTAAACTTTATAACTATTTGTATAACTTAAATGTGGTGTATTTTAAAATTTTTCGTTCTTACTCAATGTCTATTGTTGGGAAGTTAACACTTGATATATAGCTATTTAATTAAGCAGGATGGACATTATTCATCAGCTATATTGCGTGTGATAAAATACAGTGGGAAAAATGTTCCAAGCTCAGTTGTATTTCTACTTTGACTCCCATCTTTTAAAACTTTATTTTCAGAGTTTTCAAATCTTTATACATTTTTATGTTGACCTTGGATCATCAGAACTTGTTACTTCTTGTGAAAAAAAAGTACATTAGTGCATACTGAACTAACAGTTCAGTATATTATATTTGTTTTGATTTTAGTTACATTTCCCTTTGTGGTTTAAAAATACAAAAATTAAAGATAAAACCTAATAAGCAAATGCACAAATCTGAAAGTCTAGAGATCTGAGTATCTTTAGTCTTCCCTCTATATCCACCCCCTTTTCTCAGATTCTGATATAGGTTTCTTTTAGTGTTGAAGTAAATGTGGCATGAAGATATTGGCAGTTGTTTCAGGAGTTATCTGAAGCGGTACAGACAGGCTCTCCGGGAGTTTTGGAGGAAATATTATGCTTGGGACGATTAAAATCTTTAAAAGAACAATGTGAGGAAGAGACACCAGAATAAAACTCAATGCTCAATTTTGTTCCCTATTAGAAAGCAGAAGAGGAGGATATTGTTCTCACACCTGATGGCACCAGAGAGTTTCTGACATTTGAAGTTCCGCTTAATGATTCAGGATCTGCTGGTCTGGGTGTCAGTGTCAAAGGCAACCGATCCAAAGAAAACCACGCAGATTTGGGAATCTTTGTCAAGTCTATTATTAACGGAGGAGCAGCATCCAAAGTAAGCACAGGCCAACTTTACCATGCATATGCCCACTCTCAAAACCATCTAATTTCTACCCAGTTCCTATGTCAGAAGTGTGTCCAATTAAGGGACATGTTCTGTCTGCTTTGGTCACAATCCTCCATTCCTGACAAGCAGCTAGGAGCAATCACAGCTCTTCCCTGTTTATCTCTGTAGACATTCCCTGTCAAATGGAGATATTCTGTGCAAAAACTTATTGGGGCCCCTAAGTAAAGGCTAGTCTGTTCCTTTTACCTTCCCCTAGTGTGGAGCTCCCATTCTGTTTCTCAGTCTAGAGGTTTCCTCTATTGAAGGGGGCATTTTTCTATAGATGTCTAATGGCCTTGAGCCTGTGCATGACTTGTGTTGTAAATAACCACTGTGGGTGTTTCTGGAAGCAAGAAAGTAATTATTTTGTGTAACAGATTATGATAATGACTCAATTTACAAATGTGTAAATGATTAAAATAGAGCAGGTTACAATGTCTGCATAGACTTCATTATGCTACTGTTCAATTGAGCATAATCCATTAGGATTCAACGCTCCCCCCCATCTCCTTTTTTCCCTTTGTTTTAATGTTTTAAACTAAAGGGAAAGTAATTTCTCCTGCAGCAGACTATTTAACAGCATGTCTTTTACCTGCTTTCTTCCCAGGATGGAAGACTGCGGGTGAATGATCAGCTGATAGCTGTGAATGGAGAATCCCTGTTGGGCAAGACCAACCAGGATGCCATGGAGACCCTCAGGAGATCCATGTCCACAGAGGGAAACAAACGTGGCATGATCCAGCTCATTGTGGCGAGGCGAATAAGCAAGTGTAGTGAGGTAAAAAAGGAGAAAATTAGAAGTACTATAGTATCTGACAACATTACTGTATACATCCTTCCTAACCTAATACTGGACAAAGAATGGCAGTTTCTGAGACATTACCTCTGAAGACCACATTCCTTTTGCCCTCTTCTATTGGTTTGTGAATAGACTGTGATTTTTCTTAATAGTATAGTCAAAATGTTTTCACAAGTGCATGTAACTATTCCTATTGCCAATGCACAGATAGATAGTTTTTCAGAGCTACCTATATCTGAGTCCTCTGCAGGAATACAAACACACCCCTTCCTCCTCCAAGCCTGTAGTTTTCCCTCCAGTCAGCAGAGCCCAACAGGGATATGCTGGGGGCCAGAAGTGGCTGCTTATTTCCTTGTTTGTCTCAGTGGGATGCCCTTACCAGTGTTCTTAATGAGGAGCAGCCTGACTTTGTTCAGTGTTATTTCCAGTAAGGTGGTTAGTGCTAGGCTCTTCCTTCCCCTTGAGCTTCTTCTTTCTCTTCTTCTATGAGCTGTCTCCTCCTTCCTGTCCCCCCTACCAAGTGCCCTTTTTCAGTCAGAGAGCTGTACTGTTATTCTGGTATAGTTGGTTCTAAATGTGTACTCCAAAGTGGTAAAGGACTTGCCTAGTGTGTATGAGGTCCTGAGTTCTATCCAAAGCACTGCAAAAACAAGTGTCCACCATGTGAAATTAGGAAAGATAGACAATGCAAAGTATGTGTTCATCTTTCCAATAAGTGAAAATGTACTTTCTCATCGAGCAGAGCCTTTAAAAATGAAAAATAAATTATATATTTCAGGAAATTGACACTGGAGTGGTGAATTTTACAGTTAACTAAGTCAAAATTACTAGCAAATAGTACAGACTGAAAATTATATCTGAATTTTTTAAATTGTTCTTACAAGGCTCTGCTTGAGTCAGGTGCTGGTAGCTCTCACCTTTAATCCTAGCTACTCAGGAGGCTAAGATCTGAGGATCATGGTTTGAAGCCAGCCTTGGCAGGAAAGTCAATGAGACTCTTATGTTCAATCAGCTACTCAGAAAAAGCTGGAAGTAACACTGTGGCTTAAGTGGTAAAGCACTAGCCTTAGGCACAAAGAAGCTCAGAGACAGCATGTAGGCCCCAAGTTCAAGCCCCAGGTCCAGCAAAAACAAAGGGGGGGGGCTTTACTTAATTAATGCATATAAAGCAAAGTGGTAACTGTTAGATATTTAAATAGCTAGCTTTAAGTAGGTAGCTAGTAAAGAGAACACCACAGCTTTCACCACCTTGTCTCTGCCACACAAGGTGGAGACCACATGGCTGAAAGAAGGGGCAGGCTGAGGTCCAACCTGGGATTAAATAGGGAAGCCAAGGGGAGAAGGTGAGGCCAAGTGAGGAAAGGTATGGCCACACTGGATAGGGATGTGACCTCAGGACCTGGGACCCTCCCCTGGAAGCATTGGTGTGGGGGGGGGGAGGGCTGTGGCTCAGGTCTTGACCTCCAAGTGTGCCAGTTACCTAGGTGACAGGTACTAGGTGGAGACTTAGCCAAGAGGAGGGAGGCGCCTGCCTCACCTTCCCAGGGCAGACCTTACAGTGACCACTTAGATAATACAGAAAGCAATAAGCTTATGTTATAACGATATTTTTCAAAGCAAATGTTCATTGAGCTCAGTGGGTATAGTCAAGTAGAGAGAACCACTTTTGAAAGGAATATTCGTTTATTTGTGTTATTGATTTATTATTTATTGTCATTGATTTATTTTTTACTTATCAAATGTAAATTAAAAATTATTTCTCTAATAATACCAGAAAAAAGTAAGATAGAATATTAATTTATACTAGATAAATATGACCCCACTCTGTCCCCAGTGTAGACTTCTGGACTGGAATTCTTTATTTTTTGTGTGTGTTGTTGTTTGGTTTTTGTGCTGGTCCTAGGGCTTGACTTTAGCGCCTGGACTCTGTCCCTGAACTTTTCTTTTCTTTTCTTTTTCCTCAAGGCTAGCACTCTTACACTTGAGTCACATCTTCACTTCTGTTTTTTTTTTTTTTTTTCTGGTTATTTGGAGATATGAGTCTCATGGACTCTCCTGCCTTGGCTGGCTTTGACCTTCAGTCCTCAGATCTCATCATCCTGAGTAGCTAGATTATAGGTGTGAGTTACCAGTGCCTGGCAGGTGTTATTATTGTTGTTGTTGTTGTTTTGTATTATTATGGAATATGGATTCCAGGTCTTTACACATGCCATATGAGCACTCTGTCACTGAGCTGCTCCTCTAACCTTGAACTGATATTCTTGAATAACAGTTTTCATTATTTTTTTCAAATTATTGATTAATCTTTTTAATGTAAGTCCTTCAAAGTATTATGTGAAAAATTCTCAACAGTAAGTTTACAACACATATTTTTCCATATTAAATTTTGCTTAAGAGGACATTCCAGAGGACAGTATTTCCCTATGCATGTTTAGTGATCATCTATTACCTGTCAGGAAATGTGTTAGATCTTGTAGTCACAGAGATGACTAAAACAGAGGTCAAACCTTCTCTCATCTTACACTGGACAATATATCATCATAGTCACTTTAAGAACAAAGTAAGATTTGTAACACCTTTTCTAAGTTTTCCCTCTCATAAAAACACTGATTGTTATGGAGGACAACATCTGAAATGAATGGAAGATCAGCTTTCTGCTTGTTTCTGATTCCTCTTGTTCCCAATTGTTCCCCAAACAGTAGCAAAGAAAACTGGCACCAGCCTGAAAATATTTTGATGAAAGCACTGATTTTATTCTCTGTTGCCCTGTAAAAGACATGAAATTGGAATCCCACTGAAGTATCTTTGTGTCACATTTGCATCTACATATGAATTTATGTGAATGAAAATGACTTAAGAAAACAGCTGCCATACACAATAATAGACTTTAATATTCTATATTCTTTATGGTATCATTTTCATGCATTGCTGGTATTTCTTACGACAAAGTATGCTTATAAAACAATTAGATTTTAGAAACAACAACAACAAAAACCTTATCATGAGTGATGCACTTTCTTTGTAATACTACAGAGAAGACTTTTGTACTGCTAGGATTTAACTAAAGAATTATATGAAGACAGAGGAGCTTGGTTCAACTTCCCATAAGTCCTAAGACATAATTTTGCTGGTGTTGTGCTTACATTACTTTAGGAAAATCTTCTCCTTGAATCACTGGGAGAGCATGTGTAAATCATGTAACAGTAAATATTGATATAAGCATAAAACATCTTGCTGTCATGAATGAACCTCAACCCAAATTATGAGCCTAAAATTTTCCCTTGCAGCTGTGTAGTCAGCCCTGTAGTCCAGTCTGTGGCATCACAACACTATATTTTACCATCTCATCTTTTAATCAAGATGAGAAGATGAGAATTCGTAGGATCTCTCTTGTTCATATTGTTCCTTCCATTATATGTGGCAGTACTATACATGCTTAGTAAGTTTTCTTTAAAATTTTTTGTCAACTTTCCTCACTAGGTGTCATCTTAAAAACACTGTATTTTGTTGACGTTGGTACCTGTGTAGCACACTGGGACATTCTCAGAGTCATGTCTTACTTGACTGCTTTGCTTACCTAATTCTTCCTCAGTGACTCTATTTTTCTGTTGCTGAACTCTGGCTCTTAACTCTCCTCCAAATATTCCTTTTTAGGCCTCTTCTTTAATGTCACTGTTTTTCAGGCTCTCCTGTTGTTGGTTCTTGTTAAAGATATTCAGTAGTCCCTCCCTGTCCATGGGCTGTATATGTAGAGATTCATCCACCTATCGATTAAAAATACTTGAAAAAAATTTATACAGGCATTTTTTTCTAACCCTCTGCCTTCCTCTCCCCTCTCTTTCCTTCTCCTGTCTTTCTTCTATTTTTATTGTATTCATTCTATTCTTGTATTCTCTTTTCTCAACAGATGTGACTTTCTCTTATTGTATGTTTCAGAAAGATGGTGTAATTTTTTTAGAGATAAAAATTTTAAGTCCTAGATTTCCATTGTTTCAGCTTGGGAATATATAAGACAAATAGTTAAAATTGGTATTACCCAAAGGACAATTTTTTTTTTAATATTGAAGGGGATTGAGGGGACTGGTAGTTAATACCTGGCATTGGTCCTTTATTTCTTAAAATAACCGGGAATGAGAGTTATTTTTATTTTAAATATCTAAAGGAAATTAATATTTGTGAAAATCACTATAATTTAACCTAGCTTCCAGTTATTTTGTTACTGTCTGTGCTCGATGCCATTATCTATAAAGCCAACTGAGCATTTGTCTTAGATCCCATTTGAAGGGATTTAGTCATCAATGACTACTTGAAAATAAATTGTTTCTCTATATTTAATCCTCTTAAAATTAGAAAGGTATATGAAAATAGGAGGAGCCTGAGGTGTCATTTATGATTCTCTTTTTTGTATGCATTAAGAAACAAATGCAGGAAGGTCAAATGGCTTGCATAATGTCTGTTAGGAACTGGAGGAGAAAGGAACAGGCTGGACTCTTATCTCCACAGCCAAGAACTGTTTATTGAGGCACAGCTAGGAGCAAACCACCATCCCACAGGAATGGAAGTTGGGCTTTTATCAGGTCTCAGCTAGGACATAGAGGTTAAAGAAAAGGCTGGAAGGGAGGGAGAGGTGGGGACTTTGGTTAGGCCCACAATGGAATGTTTACAGCCTTGCTTAGGTTGGATTACCTTGCTGGCTTCAAGCACATCTCTGCATACCTGGGGTTTTGCCTGATGCCCTTGTGCACCTGGGATATAATAGGGTGGTCAATTCTTCAATGCCAAAGTTAGAAGTTAGAAGTTAAATAAGGGATTGGCTCTGTCTTTCAGGCAGTTAATACCCAGATTGTTTTTTGAAGGTGAATGCAGTAGAAGCTTGGGCTTTAGGGTCAGATGGCCCCATTGCAGTTATTTTGCCTTATGTGCCTGGTGACCTCTGCTGCTGTCTTTGCCTGGCCTCACTAAATAACGATGTGAGGAAA